AGCCCGAGAGCTGAGAGTGCCCCGGGTGGAGAGAACAGATGGTAAAGATCTGTGGGGAAAGAGAGGCCAGTGCTTAGCGTGATAATCAGGGGGAGAGGCTGTAGACAGGGGCCCTCATGTGCCTGGCTCTGTAAGCCCTAAGCATAGAAGAGCCATAGAATTTGTTTTGATGTCAGTGGAAGGGTTTTAAGCAAAGGAGTGGTAACACTAATAACTTGGTCGTTCTTTCATTTTCTTACTTGTAAAAGAGCTATATGTTAAAAAAAATCATTTATAAGTTTTTAATCAAAAGTGAAAAGCAAGAAATCAATCAACCGAGTAGCAAATAAGTTGATGTTCCAACTGAGTGTTCAGTAGCTACAGGGGTCCTCATGGCCAATCAGGTCATGTTCTCTATGGAACCAGTTAATCCCCCCCAACCGCCCCTTTCTCTATTTGCATCAATGACATCCTTTTCCTAGGCTCAAAGTCTCCAGCTCATGATTTTAATCTTTCCCTGGTGACTCTGTCAGCCACCAAGTCCTTATTTCTTTTTGTTCGGCATGTCTCTCCTTAGTTCTTTGCCCTTTGGTCCAAGGCCTGCCAGCCTGATTCAGGTTGTCCTCATGTTGGGTCTTGGCAGCGACGGACTAAGGGGTGTGTGTGTGTGTGTGTGTCGTGGAGGATAGTGGGTGTGGGTGTGGTGGAGGGTAGTGAGATTAGACTTCTCCGGGTGCAGGAAATAAGGGGACGTGTTGTCTACTTGGAATTTATTTATTTAAAGACTTTATTTATTTGAGAAAGAGAGAGCAGATGAGTGGAGGAGGCGGCACAGGGGGAGAAGCAGACTCCCCACTGACGCAGGCTTAGATCTCTGGGTCCCGGGATCCTGACCTGAGCCAAAGGCAGACGCTTCACTGCCCGAGCCACCCAGGCGACCTGTCTGTAGGTAATTTAAAGCCAGTCATTTTAAAAGTCAGTCTGCTCTGTTTCATCTCTACATGCCAGACATTAATGACAATTAATGACAATCCTAAAACCTCCTCCCAACAGGAGCAGAGCACTCCGTTTGCTCCCCACCCCGGCCTTGAGTTTTGTAACATTTTCTGCATTGGTCTCCCTGTTTCCTGCCCCTTTTCTTCCAGTCCCTCGTAGGCAGCTGCAGCATCTAACACCCATCTCTAGCTCCTCCAAACCTCAGCATCCTCCCTGAGGTTTATAGGATCACCCCAATGCCACAGTCTAGTCGAGCTCTTGGTCGGGCCCTGGGGAACCCGAAGCCAGCCTGAAAGCTGAAACTGACCCTATTACTCTGCATCCCAAGCTCTCTGCATCCCGACAGTCTGTGTCACAAGGGCCTTGGTTTCCTGCTGCATGAGCTGGGATGGGATCTAGTTTTGGGGTCCCAGCACTGCCAGAGATTGCTTGTGTGACCTTAAGCAAGTCATTCTCCCGCTGAGACCGTCAATATTTTTGTTAATCAAATTAGGATCATAATGGGGGTAAAGCTGAAGTGACAGGAGAGCAGGAGGGGCCAAATGAGCTCATGGTCCTGAGAGCAGCCGCCCACGTGAGCCATGAAGGACCCTGGGAGCATTGAGGGCAGGCCTGTTGGAGGGGGGCCAGAGCAGTACGGTGCTCATGGCCAGACAGCGGATGACTCTTTGCTTTTACGGTCCATTTTATGTTTCTGCTTCTCATTTTCGCCATCCCATATTCCACATATCTTTTAAGGGAAAAACTCTCGACCAATTCCTTCAAAAATCCTTCTTTGGCTGCTTACACCTGGCCCGATCCTGCTCTCCTCAAAAACCCCCAGAACACACATCCTCTGTGTTTACACAGGTCCCCTGCGGATACCCTCATATCGTGCCTCTTCCTACCTGGACTTTATATGCCACCTCTTCTGTGTGTTGAGCAACTCAATGTTGAACACACATTTGATATGAAATCGAGATTTGTCAAAATGAGTGAATGAATGAATGAATGAACGATGAATGAATGAATGAATGAATGAAGACATCTTTTTTTTCTTATCCCTTAGTGCAAAGTATGCTGATAGTGCCATCTGCTGCTAAGCTTTGATTCTATGTTTTCTATATCGTGGAAAAGAGAGAGAATGCTTAAATATTAAAAAATAAAAAATAAAAAAAAAAGTGCCTTCCAAAGTGCTGGCACAGTGAGGACTTGGAAAAGCCGCTGAAATGACCCAGTGCAGGGAGGCTAGGAAATCAGAAGGGCCCGATGAGGTGGCTGCAGGAAAGCCAACATCTCTCCTAGATTGGTGATTGGCAACCAATTTGGAATTAAAAAACCTTTTCAACTTTGTATAATGAGTTTCTCTTCTGCTCCCCTGCCCCATAAAGAAGTATGTTATTTATGGCCAGAGATAATTTTTAAATCTAACTGTATGAAAATTAACTTTGAAGATTCCAAGATGCTTCCTGGGAGAATGCATTTAAAAAAAAGTCATGAGAACTGAAAAAGCATTACTGAAGAAATCACAGTCCTATTCATTTTTCTTTTTTAAAAATATGTTCTCATGTAGTAAAAATAGCAATTGTCTTTTAATGACTGCCTGCTAGGTGTCTGACATTTTCTATCTATTGTCTCAATTAAATTTAATAACAGAAAAGTATCACTTGCTCTTTTACAGACAGAGATACCGATTATGAGGGGATAAGAAATATGCCCATAATCAGAGAGCCGGTAAAAGGCTGCAAATATTCCGAGTCTGCATGGCACAAAGCCTGCACTCTTCCTTGCTGTTGTACCCTGATTCCGTGATGGTGCTCTGGCCCAGGAGTCAGGTGACCTGAGTTTAAGTCCGAATGATACCAGTAACTTTTGTAGAAAGTTGGATAAATAAATTTCTTCTCTGGGCCTCAGTTTCCCTGACTCCAAAATATATAAGGGGTGTAAGGCCAGATGTTCTCCAGACCCCTTCCAACTTGAGGTCTGTTGCTTGCAGTGGCCTTTATTTGTTGAGTCATAAATAGAGAACTTTATTGTGTCTGTGATTCTCCCCTGAGCTTCCACCACTGGCTCCGTCTTTCCAGTCTAAACAGCTCTGGACGATTCACTGTAGACTTCAGGTAAGCAATGACCAAAAGCACTCTATGCTGAGCTTTGAAGGCCACTCGGATCTCTTTTTAGTTCATTTGTAAATCATTCTGCATGTAAATGAGGCATTTTTTCCCCCATGGAGTTCAAAGCATGATGTATATCCTATGCTGATTCTGATGGCTGTGTGGTTTGAAGCTTTCAGTATGCCAATTTGTCACTTTTGACATATTTGACAACTGGTCTTGAGCTGTAAGTGCTGTGGTAGGCAATGTGTCCCAGGTTGATGGGCACACTTCGGCAGAGCTAAGTCCCCAGAAACAGAATCTCCACATGGTGCCGAGCCTTTGAAGCGGCTCACTGGTGCTTCAAAGCAAAGTTCATGGTACAGGGAGCAACATCTGATGTACTTTTATTACCCTTAGAGACAAAAATCATTACACAAATGCCAAATGTCTGGAAGAAAAATCTGTACCCTGTGCTCAGCCCTGGGGCCTGAAAGTTCAGAAGAGGCTCAAAGTGCTCCCTGGGAGGAAACCAGAGCGTGTTTGAACAGAGCTGTAATCACACCTGGCACACTCAGAGGAGTGGTAGCAACCATCTTGCTGAAGCCAGTAGCCTCCTTCTAGATTTCCACTGGGTGTGGGGAGTGGGCAGTCCTGGGGTCAGATAAGCCCATATGAATACCTCCCGCCTCCTCGCTACTCATGAAAGAAGGGTCAGAAGTGCAAAGTGTCCTTAGAGACTCCAGCCACTTAGTTTTCACTCAGAAAACTGGCATCTGCTGTGACTTTGACTTAAGGCAAAGCATTCATCTACTGTGGGCTTCTTTTCCCTGTACGTGAATCACGACCTTGCCTACTGGAAGGTTGTAAAACACTCGGTGACCACGATGCTATAAACAATGAAGGAAAGTGGGAATTCTTCCAGGAATCTTGAGACTGCCAAGTCAAGGCGGGGGCCAACCGTGCCTTCATGCCTGTCCTTCACTTGTACTATCTAAAAGCAGAACAAATGTCAATTTATGACTATTCAGGACCCAATTTGCTAAAAGCAAAACCAAACAGAACTGTTATAGCTGTATTTGCAGCTGAGGGGAGAGAAAACTAAACAGGTCTGATTTACTTACCAACATCAACTTCAAAGAAGTGTAGTTCTAATTCCTATCTATGAGCTTGTGAGAATAACAGGTCTTGAAACTCTGAACTTCAAATCGAATAGAAATACTGCTGTCCGTCCACTCAACGTTGCTGAACAGTGGAGTATCAGGAGAGCCCAGGATATTACTCTGGTGACCAGAAGCCTTGAAATTGGCTTCTAAGCCTCAGGGCTCTATAATTTATTCTAAGTCTAAGCAGTGTAATTGCCTAAGACCTTCAAAGGCATTTAAAAAGTTGAACAAACCAAAGACAGGTACAGAGAACAAGGAGACTAAGTGTGATTGGACACTTACTGCGTGACATCCTATTCAGCCCTGTGGTTTGAAATGAGGCAAACGGGCCCCATTAACTCCTGCTGGAGATGGTCTGCTTCCAAGGATTCCCAAAGCCTCTGAGACCCTGTTCCCTGTTTTTTGACACTGAAAAAGATGTCCTCACTCAAGGACAACATAGCTTTCTGGTTTTGCTAAAAACCTGACTAATTTTGCCAAATGCTTTAGGCTTTTTCGACAACGCACCTGACTATCCTCAGGTGGGCTGGGATATGCTCATTATTCCCATTTCTGAGAGGAAAGGTTAAGAATTTGAGAGGGTGGACTGACTCCAGGGCATGTGAGATAAGAAGTTTCTTGGACTTGTGGGCAGAGCGCAAGGTCACCAGAAGAGCTCACTGAAGGACCTGGTTCAGTTCTGTTTCCCCTGACAATTGCCCCTCCTCTGCTTTTTAGTAACAAGCCCAGTCCTTGGTGGCTTCACCGCCCCCCCCCCACTTAAATACACCTCCTCACAAGGAAATAAAACTTCCTTTTAAACTGGTATTTATTTGGATTTTCACAGCATTCATTAAAGTGCTTTCCCAGGCAGATCCACAGTTAAGATCCCCTTCTGCCCCCCTCCAGAACAACTTTTATATGAATTCTCTTCCTGACAGCTTAACGTTTCAGAACCCAAGAAACCATCCAGGTTAAATCTCATACTTTTTTTTTTCTTTAAGATTTTATTTATTCATGAGAGACAGAGAGAGGCAGAGACACAGGCAGAGGGAGAAGCAGGCTCCGTGCAGGGAGCCCGATATGGGACTCGATCCCGGGACCCCCAGATCACAACCCGAATCACAAACGCAGATGCTCAACCACTGAGCCATCCAGGTGCCCCTCAAATCCTGTACTTTTTCAGTGGAGGACACTGTGGTCAAATGAGATGTCACATGCTCCTTTCTGCTTGGGGGGCAGAGCCAGCACTCAAGACCCAGCTTAACCTTTTCTTGTGAAGCTCTCTCTCTTTGCAACCACTCCCTTCTCTCCCTTCACACTGCTTTTTTTTTTAATTGTTTCATTAGTTCACATCTATTTTTTTTTCCTACTTTACTTTGAATTCTTCAAAGGGAGGGATGAAACCTTAGTAATTTTTGAATACCTCCTTAAACCCACTGTGGAGTAGCCACTCAAAAACTGATTAATGAATTCATGAGTGACCAGAGCTCTACCAGAACCTCTGCTGCGAGTGCTCATTTTCCCTGCTTACAAAAGGAAGATTGCACTGATGTGTCTCTCAAGATAATTGTGTAGTTACATAGGATTGCCAAGTGCTTCGAGACCATAAAAAAAGCTTTATAAATGCCAACCATGATTACAACCCTTTGAACAATGGGATGGATGATTTACAAGTGGAAAAAGATGAGACATAGCAGGTAATACCTCTTCCCTGGTTCTCATTTCTACCCCCGCCTACCATCAGGTAGTAATTCGGAGGTAGAAACGTCAAGTTGGAAGACGGGAGGGTTTAACTCGGAGCTGGGTAGGGTTTCCGAAGCCTATGCCATCAGACTGCCATCAAGAGGGAAGTCCTCTAAGTCCGATGAGAGGGGCCAAGGGCAAGAGTTCCCAGATAGATGGAGAACACCCAGTTCACTGTTGAAATGGAGACTGGAATGAAGAAAGCAGGTGGGTGGCCTTTCCAGAACAGATGACTGATGAGAATGACCCATAAACTGGAAAGGCTCTCAAACTCTCAAACTCTGCTTTTGTCACCTCGTGATCCCCCTCCTCTCAGGGACATCCAATCAAGTGGCTAGAAAAGGTGTGCTGTATATTGAATGAAAGGAGCATTCAGCTTCTCCTCCTAGCAATGCGTGGCAGGAAAAGAGAGGGCAAGAACATCTTGTTTGGTTATTTTTGTGAGCCCTTAGTAAGATTTTTGAAGGCAGAGGTGGTTCACCACGCCAATTTTTTATGTGGTTGATGCCATCCAATGCAGAGCAAGCATTGGGACTTGATGTTGTTTGGCTTCAGAGGTCAGCAGGGGGTACAGAGAACACGGTGATTTTCCAGGGACCAGAGGTGAAGGGGAAGGTCTGACAGCATGAGTCTGCAGCTCCAACCCTGCAGTGAGCTCCAAGGGTGGTTGATGTTACATGTCTCAGTATGTCTGAAGAAATCAACCAGGCCCCCCCCCCCAAAAAAAAAAAAAAAACAGCTTATGTCTCATGGTAGAAACATCAGATTATCTGAAGAGCAGGGGATCTGCGGGTGGGCTGTGGCACTAGGTGGGGGGTCATTTCACATCGTAGGCTTCTTGGCAGGAGGAAGAGAGGGATCGCAACCAGGGGCCCGAATCTAACTTGTGGTTTGGAGTTTTTGCCAAATGGCTCCTGTCTCCCTGAGGAGCTCTGGATGTGGGAACAGTTCAACTTTTCCCCACTTCTCAGCCATAGCACTGCCAGTCACCTCAGAATGTTTCATTATTTGGCATAAGGAATCGGTGAGGTGGCCCCCATTACCTCCACCCTTGACGTCAGTGAGGGAGTTGTTGCCTGTGGCTGTCTTAGGTGAAATAATTCAGCATTTGTACTTCAATTAAAATTCACAGGTCTATATTATTAAATGGTAGTGACTCATTCCATGGCTTCTCCTCAGCTGAATAAGTGCCAAAACACGCTATGTGCACAGTAATGATGAAGGCTGCATTAAAACTAAGATTTCTTGTCAAACAATCTATATCCAGGGCTCTAAAGAAAGCACCTTGCACACCCAAGAATATCACTCTGTCCCATGCCAGTGTCTCCTCAAGAAGAAATTTATGTTCACGATTCTCTCTGGGTTGAAGAAAGAGGAAAAAGAGACACCTGACCAAAACTCTCTTTCCTTTTGTGAGCTTCATGAAGGCAGTGCCTGGGACACAGTATTTTTCTGAAAATGGGGTTCATCTTTTTTTTTTTTAAGATTTTATGTATTTATTCATGAGAGACACAGAGGGAGGCAGAGACACAGGCAGAGGGAGAAGCAGGCTCCTCACAGAGAGCACAATGTGGGACTTGATCCCAGGACCCCAGGAGCAGGACCTGGGCCAAAGGCGGCTGCTCAACCACGGAGCCACCCAGGCACCCAAAGTGGGGCTGATCTAACTGAACTACACAACCTGCATTTGCTACATCTCTGAGGAGAGAAGGGGAACTACGCCTTCACATATCACTCAGCAAGAAAGGAACAGAGGAGCAAACGTTCAAATTTTATAAAAATCTGACTTTTCTCTTCATGTTAATGTATTACTTTAAATTTAATACGCCTGGAAGCATGGCCTAGGGAGCAAACCACCCTGGTACCTGTTTCTACCTGCCCCCTACCCTGCTCCTGGGACTCAGACATTCCAAGCTGAGTGATCGCAGGCTCCAATTTCCCTTCACTGCTGTCCGTTCCCTCATCTGGAAAGTGGGCATCAGGGCCTGTGACACCTCCAGGAGGACTGGTGTGCGAGCAGGCTCCGTGTCCTCAGCATCCAGCGCCAGGAGAGGGTGAAAACAAAAGCTTTGTAAAAGTGCAGGCTTTTCATCCAAGGGAGGGATGGTCACCAGGTAAGTGGTCGTTCCCCAGGTGGTGGAGCTGAAGAGGCCTGGACGTGAGGTCAGAAAAAGTGGGCCTTTCAGCCTGGGCTGTCTCCAGCACATACGGCACTGCTGAGTGATCAGAGAAAGTCACCCGGTCACACAGACACAGCCCTCCAGGCCCATAGATCGGGAGCAAACACCTTCTCTGGCCACATCGAAACAGGCACCCCTTCCCGGACGCCGCCCTGCGCCAGGATCCAGCACCCACAGGCCCCTGGCCAGGCATTGTCACAGAACGCGACTCGGCTGCCCTGGCTCAGATCTGCTTCAAGTCATCGGATGACACTCCCTAACTATCGGAATAAACATTATGTATGGTTTGATGTGGAGCAGATTAAAAAAAAAAATAAATGCTTTAGTGGATACACAATGTTCCAGGTGTAAAACAACACGGGCAACCTGAAAAACAGGAATCACTACCCTGTGCAGTCAGCAAACGGCATAAGATGTGAATCCACACACCATGGATGGAGGCTGTCCCCCACTTTCTGTGGGGCAGAAACCTGACCTGTGTGCCAGAGTCCCTGCCTCTCCTGGAGCTCGCACAGCACCCAGGAAGCGGGAACTACAAGGCACCAAAGACGGCTTTCTTTGTTGACACCTCGTTGCCAGAAAACAGAAACTAGATCTTGCCCAGCTTCCCCTACCAGCACATCGGAGTGCCAGCAAACACTTCTCGGTGAAAAGGCAAACAAACAGAAACCTACCTTTTCAAAGCTCAGGAAGCTTTAGCCCAAAAATTGGGTTTAGAGTTTTCAAATCACAGATACACATTAATGAACCCATTCACAAATGCTCCAAATGTTTGTAGAAGTAACTTTGGTTGCATCTGTGAACCTTTCTAAAGTCAGCTTTGTTTTTGACTTTTATTTGCTTGGTTTTGTATTTAGAGCAAGAGGCGGGAGGGCCTTTTGGAAACAATCATAACCAATGACATCATTTTCAGAAAAGGAAGCCGAAGCCCAGAAAGGGAAAGACGGTGGCTGCAGGTCACACAGCAGGGCATCGTCGATCCAGCTGGGATTATAAATCTGATGCTCCTTCCACTCTTCCAGCTGAAGGCTGGGTGGAGAAGAGATGGCACATAAGTCACGATGACTCAGTTTTCCAGGCTCAAAGGATGAATGAGCTTACCATTAACCAAGATCATTAATGGAAAAAAATAAATGAGATTTTTCAGAAAATGTTGTGATCTGCTGGTTTTCTTAGGAATGACTATCCCTACCCGTGCCCATGACCAAGGCAGGTGACCTCCCACTGGCTAGTGGCACCGGCTTCCCTGGGCTAGAACCACCCCAGCCCCACTGCAAACAGTGTCTTTGCAGGGTTTCCGCAGAATTCCGGCCAAGGGCCAGACGTCCTCTGGACCGACACCTCTGCAAACCATTTCTGTTCCTTCAACAGCACTGCTTCCACTTTCCTTGTGGTCCTGAAGCCCCTGCCAGCAAACTAGTCATGGCCCAGTGTTGTCCCTGGGCTGCACCCCCCGCCGCCACCACCACACACCCATTACCTGAAGCCACACCAAACATTCGGGAGAAGAAACCATAAATGCCAGATGTTAGAGTAAGGCTCCCTGTATTAAACAATCAGACACAAGCACGGATCTGTGAACTGGATAGCAGCGAGATGAGGGAACCCCAAAACACACGCAGTGGAAGGCTGGAATCAGTCAGAAATCCATTTTTCGTACCCTTCACCCCACTGGGCCCCACACTCGGGCTTGCGGCGCTGGTTCCCTGCTCCAGGCGGGGCTGGGGATGTTCTTCCCAAGGCACAGGGGTGAAGGGTCACGCTCCTTCCACCCCCTGACCCACTCTTTTCAAAGACCCAAGGCTCAGGGCAGTCCTGTCCGGAGCACTGTGGACGATGAATCAAAGCTCCCATGTAGGTGAGGTGTGTTCTCAGGTGAGGGCACCAGAGCCAGTCCCCACGCCAGGGCCCTGCAGAGGTGGGGACCCCGTCTCCTGCAGCGCTCCTCACCCCGGGGGGCAGTGCGGACCCCGCTGTGGACTCCAGCTCAGCCCCCAGCCCTGCGAGGCGGTGTCACCCAAGGGGCCAGGAAGGCCTCTGGGTCCACACCACACGCTGCCTTTATAGCTGGAGCCGCACGAGACGTGTAGTTTTGCCAACAAACTGATTCTTTCTGCTTGAGCTTTCGGATCTGCAGCAAACGCAGGGCCCGAGTGTGTGTGTGTGTGTGTGTGTGTGTGTGTGTGTGTGTGTGTGTGTGCATGTGTGCGTGTGCGTGGACCTGATGAGAAACCAAGACGGACAGCCCGAGTGGGGCAAAGCGAGCATCCTCAGGAACAGAAGGGGGATCAGAGGAGTCAGCTTAACCTGTTAACTTATACCACGGCTCTGTACAAAAATAAAAAGGTTCTCATAAGATTAACAATTTAAATAAATATCTGATAGAACTTTTCTTTCCCTCATGTTCATAGCTCGTCTTTGGGGTTGATAGGCGGCTCGTGCTTCCCCTGCTGCTCCTGATCGAGGATGGCGATCACCTCGTCGGCCTGTATTCGCTCCTGCAAAACAGGTAAGTGGCACATCTGTTACATGACGTCCTCACCAGCCCCAGTGGCACGTGCTTCCCGGACACCGCGAGGCGTCCATCGTGCACAGGCTGGCGCTAGATCCCGAGGCCTGACGCTCATCTCCGTCCCTCCACTGCTGCCTTCTGGCTGCCTCGTGTCCTAAGCAGTTACTTTCCAAGCTTTCTCTTTTGCCCAGAAGTCTTGTGCCTTCAACGGATTCATACCCTTTCTACTGTGTGGTTCCAGAAGCATCTCCAACTCAGTGCTTCCCTCCCACCATCCCCCCACACCTATTCTGGTCCTCCTCACCAATCCTCTCTCAGGAAGGACCGCCTCTGCTCCCCCATTTGCCCTCAAAGCTCAGCCATGGTTCCTTGGATCTGATAAATCACCTAGTCCTGTCTCTTCCACCTCCTATAACCACCCATTTTCAGTGTCCACTACTGTTGCCTTACTTTAGAGCAGGCTTCCTCAACCTCGGCGCTCCTGACATTCTGGACCAGATAATTCTGTGTTGTTGGGGCAGTCCTGCACCTAAAAGACTGTTTAGCAGAAGCTCCGGCCTCTACCCCCTCCAGAGACCCAGTAGCATGTCTCTCCAAGTTTTGACAACCAAAACACATCTCTAGCCATTGCCAAATGTTCCACAGGAGGCAAAATTGCTCCCCCTGAAGAACCACAGATTTAGGCTTTCATCTTCGCTTAGCTCAATCGGTGCAGTTTCCAAATTGTACCCCATTTCTCACCCCACTCACACATGCTTCTGGTGGGCCCTCTGCACTTCAGTCCCGACCATGTCACTGTCCGGTTCAGGGCTCACGACCCATGCATGGGTTCCTGTTGCTTGAGGTTGTAGAATCAATATTCTTGGTATGCTTATAAGGAATTGCCTGATTTAGACCTTTCTCTCTTCTTTGATTCTCCTGTCTTCTCTTCTCACCTCACCTTATACTGTGATTTCTTGACTTACCTCAAGTTCCCTGAAATCTCTCAAAGAAATCCCTAGCCCCCATCTAGGTTAAAGGTCCTTCTGGATGCTTCCATTACATCTCATGCCTTCCCCTCCCCCTACATCAAGCCATCAGCAGGCCCAGTTGGTCTATCTCCAAACGGCATCTCCAACCTTCCATGTTCTTTCACCTTCTCCATCACTCCTCTAGTCCACAATATGTAGACCAGCTGTAGCTTCCTGACCTGTATGTACTAGAGGTACCATGTTGTTCTTCCCCAGAAGGGGAAGCCAGAAGGGCACATGGATTTCCTACCCTATTTAGAATAGAATTCATGTTTCTTTTTTTTTTAAAGATTATTTATTTATTTGAGAGAGAGAGAGAGAGAGAGAGCGAGAGCACATGCATGAGCAAAGGAAGGGGCAGAGGGAGAAGGAGAAGTCAACTACTCATTGAGTAGGAAGCCCGACATGGGGCTCAATCCCAGGACCCTGGGACAATGACCTGAGCCAAATGCGGCTGCTTACCTGACTGAACCACCCAGGCATCCCAAGAATTCATATTTCTTAGCTAGTTTGTTGCATCTGATCCCCTTCCTCCTCTGTGTCCTCCTTTCAGAGCACTGTCCATTTTGCATTTGCTTACTATGTTCTGGCCACTTGGGATTTCTTGGTGTATTAATCTCTGGGCCTTTGCAACCTGTCCTCTGCCTCAAATATTCTTCCCAAGATATTTATCACAGTTGGTTGCTTCTTGTCACTCAAGTGCCAACGTACATGTCCCTTGTTGGGAAAGCTCTCGCAGGCTGTCACCTCCCCTTTACTCTTGAATCACTGATCTTATTCCCCTTCCCACACATCATTTCTCACTATCTGAAAATCTCTCAAGGATTTGCTTTTACTTATTTGTTGTCTTTTTCCACTAGAAGGAAAGCACCACGAAAGCAGGGAATCTTGTCAATTTTGATCACTGTTGTATTTGCAATGCCCAGAACAAAAACTGACATATGGTAAGGGCCCGATTACATCCAATGAATAAATATGCAAGTGCATGAAGGGTCCTCTCTCTGTTTCAAATGTGTCTCCCTAAGGGCAGGCCAACTGCCATCTCCTCAATGAAGCCTTTCTGGTTTCCTCTTTGTATCTGCTAACACATACATCTGCCCTGAATAATTCTTACTGAACTTTGCCTGGTGTTTGAATTACCTTAGCCCTCCCTGTGTGTCTCCATTTTATCTCAAGCTCCTTGAAAACAGGGGTATGTCTTATGTAGTCCGTGTCCCCTATCGCTAGTCCCTAGCACAATGCCCCACACAGCAAGTTATGGCAAAACTATTTTATGACTTGAAAACAAAGCTCCTCCATTCAAGACCTCATAGTTGAAAATGATGCTTCCAGAAAGGCAACCATAAGGACCAAATATACTAAATCACAGAAAGCTACACTGATGTCATGCTAAGTAAGATGCCTGAGCACTACTTTCTGAACATGGGAACCACAACTTTCTCCTTAAAAAACAGGCATACAAAACCGATACAAATGCTCAAATGTGCTTCCCCCAAGAGACTCTTGCAACCACGTCTCTCGTGAAAGGGAGAAGTTCATGAGCCGGAACTCCAGGTACAAAAGAACTCAAGCTTTTTTTTTTTTTTTTTTTTAAGATTTGGTTTATTTATTCATGAGAGACACAAAGAGAGAGAGAGAGAGAGAGAGAGAGAGAGAGAGAGAGGCAGAGACACAAGAAGAGGGAGAAGCAGGCTCCATGCAGGGAGCCCGATGTGGGACTTGATCTTGGGTCTCCAGGATCAGGCCCTGGGCTGAAGGCGGTGCCAAACCACTGAGCCACCTGGGCTGCCCCAGAACTCAAGCTTCTGATGTTGTGCCTCCTTAAGAGTTTACAACACTAGCTCTTTTCTCTCTGAGAACTGATACCTTGAAAACAATCTAGAACAAGCAGGGAAATCTGCCTATCCTTTTGACTCCTTCATAGGCTTTCCTTGCTCAGGGATTCAATCTGAGAAGAGGCGCCTTGCTCAGGACTCCCGAACGTTCCTGCACATTCCAATCGCCTGGGGAGCCTTTAAAGCTCTCTATACCCAGGTCACACTTCCCATCAATACATCCAGGATGGTTGGGAATGAAAGCCCGGTGTCAGTAGTCTGCAAAACTGCACAGGTGATTGCGACGTGGGAGCAAAGTGTGGGGAACCCACAGGCTACATTTCTAAATTTCCCAGTAGTTGCTGAAGAGGCTCTGGTCATTCTCTCGTGTGGCCACTAGATGCCGCTACTGCCCGGACTCTTGGGGATGTTTCCCAACACCCTGGGGATCCAGGAGCCCAGAGGCTTGCTTCACTTTGTGCTCCTTCATTTGATAGAAAATACCTTGGAAGAGAAGGTTGGGGTACTGAGTAATGAAGCGGACTCAGTGTTTGCTGAACTGAACACTAAAGAGACAAAGGCGTGTGGCGATGTTCCAGGAATGTGCTCCCTTCCTGTAGGTCCAGGGCCTGCCTGGATTGCCTGGTGCAGGAGTGCCCTGCGGGGAGGGTGGGGAGGGAGTGCTGGCCTCTTGGAGTGAGGAGCACAAAGAAAGGAAGGAACCAGAGCTGAAGGACACTGTTCAGGGCCCCCTGAACTCTTCAGAACTGTGTGCTCTGCTCCCCCAGCCCCCCAGGACCAGGATCCCTCTTGCCCCTTTCAGGGCCTGGCTATCATCTCCTCAGGGAGAGGGAACCTCAATCCATCTACAAAATGCACACTGCTATGGCAGATCTACTTCCCTGTGGACCTCTCCAAGCTCCTGCCCCTCCCCCCAATTCCCCCCACCCCTGGTCAGGGACTGTGTGTTGTCACCCCCCACCCCCCAGGGCCTACCCAGCCCGGTTGCCCAGGTACAGAGATCTTCCATAAACATCTGTGAGGTACATGAAAAAATGCTTATGGAATGTGGCCTAGCAGCCTCGAAATCCGTGTTAGATCCCATGGCAAGAAGTATGAGGCGGAGGCAGGAATTTTAAACAGTTTCTGACTAGATTGGATTCAATTTACATATTTTAAGAGAAAACTGGATTGAATGCCATATTAAAGACTAGAATTTCTGGATGCCTGCGTGGCTCAGGGGTTGAGTGTCTGCTTTTGGCTCAGGGCATGATCTCGGGGTCCTGGGATCGAGTCCCACATCAGGCTCACCACAGGAAGCCTGCTTCTCTCTCTGCCTGTGTCTCTGCCTCTGTGTGTGTGTGTGTCTCATGAATAAATAAATAAAATCTTTAAAAAAAAAAGACTAGAATTCATAGCTTGTCAATACTCAGGGCTGGAGGAGACTGAAGACCCCCCAGTGTACCCCTTGCTGTGAAGTTTCAGTTTCAATCTCAGCATCCCAAGTGGAGCTGTTTACTGGAGCCAGTTAGTGACAATGAACTTGCTACTTTCGAAGCGGACAACTCCACCAAGCGGTGGTGACAATTTGAAAGTCAACATTTTCCTTCAATGGGCTTTAGGATATTGGTCTTAAGTCATCCTTCTGCAGCTCACAGATAGTGACCGTAAGCTCTGGCTGGGGAACCCAGAAGGATGGGATCCGGGCTAAGTGTCTACTTCCAATATAATAATAACAATATGTTAATATGCAACATTTAAGCTAATAATAGTAAATAATGACAAACTTTCAGGTTTACTCACTGTCCTCTACATGCATCTCATCCATTATTCAGTGCGCTTTTTAATGATTTCTTGAGAAAACAAATGAGTCTTCCTGGTGCCCTGGAGAAAGTGGTTCCTGTCTCCTGATACCACAGTTTGTTAAAAAGCTCCAAACTATCTAGAAACTGTCAGGCATCATTTCAATTCGTATTTCCACATACATTCACTTATTGGAACCCATCTGATCAAGAACTGCCTCCCTAGCCTCTCCTCTCCCTCTCAAACTCACATTACAGACAGCAGATGTGTAATTGCTTCATTTTGAGTCTCAAGAGGAAAATCTATTCTTGCTTAGAAAGGACAGCCAGTTGGGACACCTGGGGGCTCAGTGGTTGAGCATCTGCCTTCGGCTCAGGTCGTAATCCTAGAGTCCTGGGTTTGAGTCCTGCATCGGGCTCCCCGCAGGGAGCTGGCTTCTCCCTCTGCCTATGTCTCTGCGTCTCTGTCTTTCTCATGAATAAATAATTAAAAAAAAAAAAAAAACAGCCAGTGTTGGAAACTAGAAAGAAAGGACTTTGTAATAGTTTGATTTTTGTGATCTCTAAGATCCCTAAATGGTTATGGATCAATCAGAGGACTTTTCAGATAAATCAGTTCATGAAGCAGGTCTTTGGGACATCTAATTGGCCTTCTGGGTGGATCACACACTCACCAATTCTCTATAAAGTGGGTTCAAGGTAAACCACAGAGCCACAGCACACCTCTGGCCCTTGGTGACTGCCTTCACTCCATGAGGGTTCTCTCCTCCAGATGAGAAACTGATCATACGCCCACACTTTGGTTTGATAGAGGCCTGAGAAAGAACATGACAATCAGACTCTCATTTCCCTATCACGAGCATTTCGACGACCCTTTTCTCTATCCTTCTACGGGATTATTTAGGTCAAGTTTTGAATCAAAGAATAAGGAAATCCTGGGGTTGGAGCAGACACAGATCAGTTCAATTTCCTCACCTGCAAAACAAAGAAGTTCAGAATCATGTCTGATTCAGACATTAAATTATTCAGGTAAAACGGCTGGCACCATTGGTGGCACCGAGTAACGGCTCAATACATGCTGAGCTAGGGCTGCTAAATTCCATGAAGACAAAGCCTCTTTTTCACTTCCCTTCCCTGCCTTTAGCCGTAGTGCAGTATCTGGCATAAGGCAGATGTCCATTTAATATTTGTGGAATGACAAAAACAAACCAAGGGGACCTCTAGAGTGCTGGTGAATTCTTATTAGTGATCTACGGGGTGCTGCACGGTGCACCCTTTCTCATGCCTTAATTGTACATTTATGGTTTGTGACCCTTTCCTTTCATAATACAGAGATTTTTAAAAGTCTAATTTCATATGATACTTTAATTCCTACTACAGTATTCCTGCCCAATGGTCCTCAGCGAATGCTTTAATACCTCCAGTGATGAGGCCATGCTGCTCCTTGGGGAGACCTATTCCATGGCCTTCAGAGCTCTGACATGATTAACACAGTCCTTTTAAGCCTGTGCCCTGCTCAGTGAAACTGTTCACTATCGTTTATGTAGAAGAGAGTGGAGAGAAAAGAGGCATTGCCAAGGGAGCCTGGGTGTTAGATCAAGTGAGCGGGCTCTCCAAATTGAGTGAACCCAAGCCACAAAATAGAAGGGGGCCTCACATCTGTATTTTAAGAAGTGTCTGATGTCAGTAGGGTTCATTTTTCTTTCTTGAGAAACACAGAAACATCACTCACTCCATAGTAGAGCTTAGAAAGTACAAGAAAAAAATGTGGTGCCTTTCTACCTTGTGATCAGATGCACCCATTTTAAACTAATTATTTTCTGAACTGACTTGGATTAAGACATGCCCATTAGAAGAACCTTCGGTTTCCTTCACCATAAAATGGGATGGCTCTGGTTTTTTCCCCTGCCAGCTTCGGAGCAGTATTTGGAAACTTTCCTGAGGTCTTTGGATGCTACCCAACATAGGTACCCCTGAACTGTGACCTACACGTGGAAGGCCCGAAGGAGATAGAGGAATCAAAATGTCTGAAACCTGTGTGTTAGTGTGTGTGTTAGTGTGTGTGTGTGTGTGTGTGTGTGTGTGTGTGTGTGTGTGTGTGTGTTAAAGGGAAGAGCAAGGAAAAGCAGTTTCTGGTTACTCTTCTATTCACAGAAATTGAGAAGTGACTCGTCTTTGCTGGAGAGAGTTAATTTTCTTCTGCAGCTTTGTCAGTGTGGCTTTTCTGACAAAAATCCAGAGAGTTCAGTACTTACAGGTGTCGTTGGTATCAATCCGATTTCATTTTCCTGGAGAAGGAATTTGTTGTATGTTTCCCCACAGAAACAACAAAATAAATTATACTTGAAACATACGAAGTAGGATAGGAAAGCCTTCGTCTACACACAGCTTTCAGATCTCTTTTCTAGTTTTCTTAGCATCCCATTCCCTGGTCAGGGCTCACTCAACCACATTTGGTCACCATTGCTTCGACGTGATGATCAAGTGTCAGCAATAATACTTTACAATATTAAAGACAGGGTGTGGGGTCAATTTGATGCTTTATCTCTGATGGAACTGGATGAATTGCAAGTATTTTTTTTTACACATGAAGAAATTGGGAAAGTCTAGGAAAAGCAGCTATCAGCTCCCCAAAGCATTTGGAATCGATTATAGGTATATATAGGTTCACAAAAGTCTAGATGACTAATCTTATCAAAAGAAGAACGTCAACCTGTTACATACATCAGCCATGTAAAGGAATGAACAGACTTCATTTAGGACATTACTTCTACAGGAAACTATGTCCTGAAGTTTAGATGATTGTAAACATACTTTTGGAACACAGCTGTGGTTGAATTTAATGTTTCATGAAGCAAATAGAACTTATTAAATTTCATCTCTTTCAAACTTGCACAGAGAAACCCAAATCCCAAAATACTCATGTTTCACAAATATGCTGTTGAAAATAATCCATGTATCTTCCAAGTACCATAAAAGAAAAGCCCTCTTGCTTTTCATCTGAGCAATGATTAAAAGTCAGAGAAGCCTTTGTGCTGTACTTGTTTTGAATAAATGTAAATTTTTAGCTACCATTTAGTTGTGTGTAATTCCCAGAATTTTGCAAAGTAAAGAACTTGTAAGACTTTTCTTCTTTGTGTAGGCTCCAGGTTGGACCTTTTCTCTGACTTCATTTGTCCCTTCAGAGTCAAAGAAAGGAAAGCTTGAAAAGGAAAACTATTCATTTCTCTCTTTGCTCTTAGGACTGATTACCTAAGAATTTTAATCATTTACAAGTGCCCTAAAAACTCCACCACATGTACTAATCTGAAGTAGAACTAGTCTGGAAAAATGAATCTGTCAACGTGGCGCTTTTGAATCAGAATATTGTGTAAATCACTTATTTATTTATTTGTTTTGTTTATTTATTTATTTAGCTTTTTTGAGGGTGGTGGTGTGGTGGTTAGACTCAGTACTTTTTAAAATAATTCAACCTTCATATAGTTAGATGAAAGAGCGGTACTATCTGCTTTCACATCTTGAAGCAGCAGAATTACAGTTAACTTGCGTTCAACAATGAATGAATCACTGATTCTTATATCGGATCCCGGGCATCACTGGCTTTGAAACACTGAGCGTTTCCAAATAAGGCCACTAGATGGAGTAGAAGCAAAGGAATCTTTTCAATCACCTGTCGGGACTTTCTTTCCAACTCTGGGAAGCGCAGGCATTTAAAAATCTGTTTTGGTGTTAGCAGAGCTCAGAAATCAAATGCTTTCTGCACTGAGGTTTTTTTTTTTTTTTTTTAAATGGTAATTTTGTGTCAGGATTATAAACAACTGGGATCATCGATCTTGATTCAATTTTCCAGATCATGAAGCGTTAAAATACTCTGTTGATACTTAAGCTTTTACAACAAAGTGTGAAGCATCATAACCTTTTAGATACACATTATTGCATGAAATTGTACGAAATATCTTTCATTAATTATCCCAATGCTTCTGGATGATTTTAACAAGAATCTCCATAGGGTTCCCTTATAAATCAGGTAGTATAGAATATTTGATATCATGGGCTTATACCCCAGCACTACCCCATGAATGATAATATGGGTGTTTCACTATTAAGAAAAGGATACAAAGTAGGAGAGGGTTAACATAATAGTCACAAAAAAAGTTGTGGAGATAGAGTGTTTAATGCAAAATCCTTGACGCTTGTCAGATACATGCCTCAACTATTTAGATTGTGTACAGAGGAAAGATGTATTTCATAATCTAGTTACAATTCAATTATCCTCTCAACTGGAAAACATATTTTTCTACCATGGTGTACGCTCTTTGGCTTAACGTCCACAGAATGCTGGCTATATAGTCTATAACTCAGTAGACTGGTTTTCCAAAGGCACTCGTTGCCTGGGAAGATGGTAGTTGAAATTAACTTGATTTTTTTTTACCTATGAAAGTGTATTTAAAGTCTCATCTAAAATGTGTGGGTAATGTGTATATTTTAATCTTTCAGGTGTAGGTTTACTTACAGTTACAATCCTATAGACGCATACACATATATGGTAATTCTGGTAACTAGGCCTAGAGTGCAATGCTCAATCCAAGCATGCAGAACACCAGGTTGCTCGAAGCTATTCTGTAGAATCCATTTGTGTAGTCCTAGGCATGGATGACTTAGAAATACATGTTTTTGTATTTCCATCAGACTACTTGACAAAAAATCAGAAGACCTAAGTTCTGGTTCCAAGTCTAACACTAACTACCTATGTAACCATGAGCAAATCCTTCATATACCTATTCCTTAAATTACCCATTTATAAAACAGACTGGAAGATTTTTATTGATGAGCCCTTCTCTAACATTTTTGATGTATACATCTGCTGGGCCCCTCTGCACCTCTTGAATAGTCGAGCTCAGATATTTGGAATCCAATAGTCTGTGAGTCCTTGGAAAAGGGCAAGATTGAGATGAAGCAATGCTACAAAAACTTGCCTGCAAAGGCTTACTTACGGTCACAGTCTTGGCATCCATCTCAGTGAAAATGAATTCTCCTCCTTCGAAGTCATCATTCATATACAGGAGAGCACTATAAGAAAAGAGAAAACCATCTGTAATGTCACAAGCTTACAACATCATCTTCAGAGAATACTGAAGACGTGACAAACTGACCAGCCTGACTGGTAAGCTTCCTCTGAACCAGACATTGAAAGAACTGACCTTCCTAACCCTGAAGAGTAAGATCAGAAGTAGTTTGGGTCATATCCCTGAAGTATTTATTCGTTTCACTTATGCTAACATTCTAACAAATCTTTTTAAAAATATTTTATTTATTTATGACAGACACACAGAGAGAGAGAGAGAGAGAGAGATAGAGAGGCAGAGACACAGGCAGAGGGAGAAGCAGGCTCCACCCAGAGAGCCAGACATGGGACTTGATCCACAGGTCTCCAGGATCACACCCTGAGCTGAAGGCGGCGCTAAACCACTGAGCCACCCAAGCTGCCCTAACATTTTAATTATATTTCAAACTTCATTTCACTTTTTCACAAGAAAACCTAACTAGATTTAATCTACCCCTTTGAGCCTGATCACACTACTTATAATTCTCTTCTTCCCTCTAATGCTTGTGTATCTAAGGCATGTATTTTTCCCTGGAAATAGCCAGAGAGCTTCAAGAGGTGTAGTCTTGCCTTGCACAGAGAAGGGGTGCTCAATAAATGTTTTTGTCTGGAGCATGCTGCTGTAGTAATTAACCACTATTATATACCTGGTGACTTCTCCTTAGACACTAAAGTATCATCCATTTTTTTCCCCTGAGTTTCTAGTATCATATTTATGGAAGGCAGACATAGCTGAGTGATATTGTAAGACCCCTATGTGCATTGAGACAGCATATCCTGTGTTCTCAGGCTGAGATATGCATCCCACAAGGAATACATTTCAGTGAAGGCTAAACAAATTAAAAAAAAAAACAAAACACTTTTCATATTAAAACAAAATGGGCACTTTTGTGGATTAAGATGAACTAAATGTGGTTGGATTCTTAAGATAAAAATATCAGATAATCAGGGTGACTGGGTGGCTCAGTTGATTAAGCGTCTGTCTTCGGCTCAGGTCATGATCCCAGGGTCTTGGGATGGAGCCCCATGTTGGGCTGCAGGCTCAGCAGAGAGCCTGCTTCACCCTCTCCTTCTGCCTGCTGCTCCCCCTACTTATGTTCTCTATCAAATAAATAGATATAACCTTTAAAAAAATATGAGATGATCAAGTCACTTCCTGGTTGTGGCAGCTGCTTCAGGAGGTTATTTGAGAATCTCTGCTTCACAGAGATTACTCTGACGACAGCAAAGATCCGTTTTCTAGTTTCCTCGATTTTCTAGGTATTTGGTAACTATTGGGCAAAAGCTTGGTTTTAAGGTTGGTGCTGGTTGTACCTATAGTCCCGGAATGTGTAAGCGGGAGGCTCCTTCCAGCACTCATTGGCCTCAGGATCCAACAGGCAGTTGTCAGCATGGATGGGGTGACTGAGGTCAGTTCTTCTATCCTGCTGACCTGCCGGAAAAGGAAACAGGTGAGAATGACAGGAGAGCAGGAGCGTCCAATAGCAAAGCTGATGCCACACTGTCTTTGCCCATCACTGGTACCCTATGCAAATCTGAGACGCAAGGCAGACCCACGTAGATGAAAGAAAGAACTGACTAAGCAGTCAGGAGACCGGTCCTGCTTTGGTGAGATACTTGTAAAATCAAGGGCAAATCCCATCTGTCTGTTCTGCCATAAAAGTTTCTTGATATAAATACACATAATAGAAATTACATGCATTCACCTGGGGCAGTCCAAGGAAAGAGGCGAAATGAAAATGTAAAAAGAAAAGACTGATTCAGCTGAAACCTCACCTGCCAAACTATACTCTCAAGAACTTCTCCTTCCCCTCCTACTCAACAGGGTGTGGAAGAGAAGATCTAGGGAAAAAATTAATCATAAAGGCCTGGAGCAAGGGTCTCTGCCCTTTTTAAAAAATATTTTATTTATTTATTAATGAAAGACACACACAGAGAGAGGAAGAGAGAGAGAGAGAGAGAGAGAGAAGCAGTCTCCCTGCAGGGAGCCCGATGTGGGACTCGATCCTGGACCCTGGGGATCAGGTCCTGAGCCAAAGGCAGATGCTCAACCACTGAGCCACCCAGGCATCCCAGGTCTCTGCCTTTTTAAGAACATTTATTTCAATAATCCCTTCATTTTCTATGCATCCACTTAATGCTTTGGGGCATGATGGGAACTGTAATTTCCAGGTTCCTGGTTTCCTGCAAAGGAAAGCCCAAAGCAGGGAAGCATTTCTCTGTGTGACTTACAGTTAGTAGGAGAAATGGATCTGAAAGGAAGACAGGCAGAGCAATGGGCTTCTGGAACAAGAGGAGGCCAAAAAGGAGAAAGACAGGGAAGGAAGAAATCTGTACAAGGTTCTTCTGTTTGGGGGGACTGAGTACTTGGCTAACCCTTTAGTCTAAAATGTATCAGAACTCTGTTTTGCATTGTTTTCTTTCTCCTTTCACTGTGGGTGTAGGAAGGAGCAAGTTCAAACTCTGGAATCTTACCAGACAGGGCGGTGCGGCAGACCATGTGTGTATAGGAAAAATACAGGGTTGAGTTCAGCATGAAATAGGATTCTACAATCTTTCGAGCCTTCTCGCTGATGTCATAAAACAGACGGGCACTCTTCAGCGGGACTCGGCCTTCATAACCAAACTGAAGACAAAGAGGAATGTGAGACAGCACTGGGTCGGTCAGAAGGCTTGAGAAAAACAGACAGTAGGGCTCAGTCCAGCAATATAAGGATGGCCCTGTCTACCCTGGCCAGTGGGAACACTGTTACATGCTCGTGGATTCTGGTTAGGAAAAGGAGCCACCGAAATTCATCCTTCTTAATCACAGAGGGAACCCTGAAAGCTAATCTCTCCCTCTTCTCTCCTCTCAAAGAACTTTCTCTTCCTCCCCAACAGCACTTGGTGTGGTACGGAAGAGCCATGCGTTTTGGGATACTTTCACCATTGCACCAGGAGCTCCTTGAGGACAGGGCTGGAGTGGGTATTATTTGTCAAATCGGAATTTAGGAGATTTGAAGTCTGATAAGTTGGTGCCTAGTGAAGGAATCAAGGAATGATTTAAAACAATGCAGATATCATTTCAGACTTGCTCTTTTCATCTACCCTGAGGGGTCTACATTTTCATCTCTCCTCTTTCCTATATCTGCCATTCACAGAAGGTCTTGGGTTGATGCTTAGGAACCCAAACCCAAAAGAAGCTACGACTTTACTTTGAGAGCTTTCAGGACAGTTGCACCTTCAAACTTTTCATTGGGTGTATGGGGTGAAGTCTTTCCTCTATATCCATCACCAACAAGCATGATTCCCTGGAAGCAAAATACAAGAAGATGCTTTATTAATGACCACTATGACTTCATCAGGGCTCCCCTCTTGCCTTGACTGCCAGGAAGCTAAGGACCAAAGTCCATAGTCAGAACCATCCCTATTTTGTACCAGGATCCTGGTACCATTAATTCTTCCGATCAAAGAGATATCTTTATTTAACCTTCACTCTATATTTTTACTTAAAATACTACTTTTTGTAGAAATAGGATATAATTAATATATTGGTTAATTACTGATTAAGATAAAGAGATCTTCCCAGTGACTTTATACAGTAAGCAGGGCACATGCTGAATGCTCTTAAGCCACTAACTATTCTGGATCCACTAGCTGTGTCCAGATCTAGACAAAACTAAAGTTATCCCAAACCAGGCTATGAAAATGCCTCCACATTGATGTCCTGGTCCTAAAGAAAGTGACATTTCAGGCCTGTTTCTCTGACTCCAAGCGAGACCAGGACCAGAGCTCCAGAGCTCATACCAGGCCAGTACTCAGGATCCCCTCCCGCTCCCGTCCTCACACTGGCCACGCTGTGGAGCTCCCGGCACTGTTCTTCTGACAGGACGTTATCCAGGAGAACCCGCTGAGTCCCATTCAGCTGCTCCGAGTTATAGACAAATGTGATGTTCTCATAGAGCAGAGGGCCACCTAAAGGGACAGAACACATGGTCTTCTCTGTTGCTTCTATTCCCAAGGTGGGGGGGGGGACCACAGAACACTCAACAGTCTTCAATGTGAAATGCATGAGAATCAGTTTGCTCATGAATACTTAAGAATGCAAAGACAAATTGGAAGCTTGCTAAGTACAATATGGATTCAGAAAACAGATGTCTGACCACCAGGTTTCTCCGTAACATCACAATAATGGTATCACATTTGTATAGGATTTGGGGTTTGATAGGAACTCTCTTTTCATTTGATTCCAGTGACGATCTTGCAAAGCAGACTGGGAATCTCCCAGGACACTGCTCTGATAATTTCTAGAATTCTCTTGGCAACTGCACACACTCTTCACAACTCTTGGCTCCTAACTCTGTTACAACATCACATTATGTGATCACGTGTTTGTGCACCCACACACGACCCACATACCCCAGTCTCACTGGTAGGTAGAGAAATACCATCACTAGAAAGCTCAGCTGGTAAATGCACCATCAGGATAGTCACCCCCAAGCCACCAACTCCTTCCCAGTCTTCTTCCCACCAAACTGACTTTAGATGGTCTTATTTGGGGAATATTTATTTTTCTCTGTTCTCTAGGCAAATCTTTATATCATTTTTTTCACACAGGAAGGTTTCCTATAGATAACTGCTCTCTCCCTGGATAGAGCCCACAACTTAATGAAATAGCCCCTATAGGCTTTCGAGAAGGAGATGCTCTGGGGTCGTGCTTTAGGTGTTAAATTACAAAATCTAGACCTGACAAGGCTCTCTCCTCACAGAGGGCAGGACTGAGGGCAAAGCCTCTGCTGACAAGGAAATCTTCAGATGTAACACAGTGGAATCAGCTTGAAGTAAAACACTAAACTGAAAGGAAAAAGACTTTCTGCTCTTTATAATACTCCTAAGAGACCGGACACGAACCTCTCAATGACAACAGTTCACCCTGGAGGGAGGCATGGGGAGGGCTCGGCTTCTCCCTTCTTGCCCCTGTCAAGCAAGGGTCACCAACACACTGTCTAAAAGACACATCAGTTGAAGAAGGAAGAAACCAATTGAAATCAATGTTCCCTCTATTTCTTTAAAACAAATTTGTAAAACTAAAAAGTAGCACCAAGTTTATTCATCTAGTTAAGATGAAAGAGTCACAACAGCTCACAATTAGTGGAATATTCAGAAAGAGAGACGGTGTTTCCCAATCTTTAGTAATACATGGTTATCTGAGAAGGGAAAAGTTCCCAAAGGAGCGGCAGTGCTGACACACTATTTATTACAATTTTACTTCTATATTTGTAATTACAAAACCACGAACACTGTACTTATTTATCTGCAGAGTTTCATATAACTTAACACCAAAAGCAAGTTACAAGTTACAAGATTAAATAAAAGCAAGACTGTGAAACCAAGTAAATTCAAGATAGCAATATTAATGAAATGGTTAATGCTATTTTATAGAAACCAAAAAGCCTCATTCCACATGAATATTCTATTCTACTCACTGATCTGGCCCAGATTCTTTTGAGCCAGCATTCTTTATAGTATTTTTGGTGTGTAATGACTCATTGCACTGCAACTTTTCTCTATTGAAATTACTATGAAATTGTAATATAGCATGACTGACTTTGGGCCTTTATCTGGTCCTGATGCATTATTTATAAGTTTATTCGACTTCATTTCTTGTTAGTCTTCAACCACTGAAGTATCACTAACTGGTGCCAGTGTGATGTAGTAGCTGCACCCACTGCAGTGTGAAATCTCACAGCAGGACTTGGCTATTAAGTTGTTATTTAGATGACCTACTACTTGCACCATTAACTTTTTTTTAGGTTGTTATCAAAATCCATAAACACAGAATTTCTTAGATTTCATGAATATAACCACAAGTTGTAGTTGAGTACCAATCTTTTGGATGAATAGAAAAAGAAAATACACACACACATACATAATTCAATGTTTCTCTGCCTTTGTTCCACAGAAAAGTTTTTGATGAAAAAAGAGTTTCTTGATCGAAGTGTTTGGGAAGTATTAGGTTACACAAAATTTAAGAGGACTTCTTAGAACTTTAAATATATAAATAGGCATCATGACTCTCTGGAGTATCAATACAATATGAAGCAGTTCTTACCTTTAATTGAGCACAAGAACTATCCTTCCTTCCTTCCTTCCTTCCTTCCTTCCTTCCATCCTTCCTATGGCAGAGAGATTCTAAGATGCCCCCCTAATGATCACTGCCTCCTGGGATTCATGGGCTTGCATAATTTGCTTTCCTCAAGTGCAGGTGGAGACTGGAACTTGCTTCTAACAACAGAATATGCCTAAGTGATGGGATATCACTTCTGTGATTAGATTACATAAGGTCGCAACTTCCGTCTTGCTAGTAGACTCAGTCTATTGCCTTCTCAGCTTGCAGTTGGATGAAGCATGTAGCTGCATTAGACAGACGCACACGGCAGGGAATGAGGCGTCCTCCAGCCAACAATCAACTAGGAGTTGAGGACCACTGCCCACTAAGACTCTTAGGAACCGAATTCTCTCATCTGAACGTGGGAGAAGATAGATGGAAGTCTGTCACAGACCCTGAAGCAAGGGACCATGCCAAGTTACCCCCCAAATTCCTGACCCCCAGAAACTGTGGGATAGTAAATGTATGTTATTGTGAGCCACTACATTGGTGCTTTTTTTGGGGGGGGGTGACGATAAAAACCTATTAGACGACCCTCTCCCCAACAGGACCTCTTAATGTAAAACATAGATTATTTGGAAAGGGTGCTCTAATCCATATAGCTGATTAAGATCCATAGCCAAATTGAGGCACTTTCTCAAATATTTGGAAAAGTAAACTGCATATTCCATTCCCATTTAGAAATGTAAAAGAGATGTTCCTTCCAGAAGAAAGACAAGATACTTGTAGGTTCACTGAAAAGCATTTTCTAATATAAAACTCAAACAGAAATGGATGACAGACCATGGGTTTAATGAACCAGGTTGGTTTGTACTATGTCATATTTCTTCCTTTTCTATCTGGAGAGTACATTAACTTTAAATATAATTACCTTATTTTCAAAAGATGACTTTATTTTTTTAATTTTTTTTATTTATTTATGATAGTCACAGAGAGAGAGAGAGAAAGAGAGAGAGAGAGGCAGAGACACAGGCAGAGGGAGAAGCAGGCTCCATGCACCGGGAGCCCGATATGGGATTCGATCCCAGGTCTCCAGGATCGCGCCCTGGGCCAAAGGCAGGCGCCAAACCGCTGCGCCACCCAGGGATCCCTCAAAAGATGACTTTAACAGTTACTACAACCAAAACGTTTAGAAAAACCCCTACCATTCTTAAGTTTTATATAAGTATTTGCTATTACTATGCTGATTACTATTAAAATATGCCTGGTATATAGCTTGCTGAGTTCTGGCTGAGGCTTCTTAATAAGCATAAAGGAGTTTACTTTAAAAAGGGCTCCAGGGATATTGACAACTCCCCCAGTCATGCCACATGGAGTATACAAAGATCAGGTGAAGGGATGGAGTGCAACACAGAGTCTTACCTAATAATGTTAACTAACACTAACGGAGTCAGACAGAATCTGTCCTAGAAACTTGCCTTTCATGTAGTTAACACAACCACCCCTGAGAATAAGAGTTTTATACAGAGGCTTCCCACACATGCATTTCACCAAAAACAACCAACTACCCACCCACTAACCAAAAGGAAAAAAGGAAAAAAAGGAAAAACAAATCTTGCCGTTCAAATATGCACGTCGACCAGCCTGCAAATGACTAGTAGCACACCAGACAGAGGAAAACATTAAAATAAAAATAAAAATGTAGTCCAATAAGTTGCGGTTCCTGGGGCCTGATGTGATGGCTTCAGCCAACTCTTAACCACAGCTCAAGGAGATTTAGTTAAACAACTTAATTCTTCTCTCATTCATAAAGTATGTGCCTGGCTCTGACTCTCCAGTTGCAATAAAGAGGGATCGTCTAGGAAAATACTGCTCTGTGCTCACCGCCTGTGGTTCACATGGCAAGAAGGAGCGTTTCACCATAAATATTACAACGTCATACAAGTCATAACAGGGATGTGCTAAGTAACAAGCCCTAATGTGAGCACAGCCCTTTCCCGGCTACAAAAGACTTTTCACACTGATCCTCTGCAAAAAGTTGCTATCCTTCTTTTACAGCTGAGGATCACAGAGCCCAGAGACATCAAGGCTCCAGTGATCCATCACACCACAGCACATCAGACTAACCAATCCTGGAAACTAGCATTCCTGATTCCAAGGTCAATGTTATTCTACTATACTGACAGGGATGATTACGGAGCAGGACCTTTGGAAACTAGTGGGGGAAAGGAGAATGGATAACTGACGGATGTTTTTAGCTTGATGATATGCATATCCCATGAACTGGAGTCACTCTGGGATGCAGTCCTGGGTCACTCCCGCAGAGCTTCTGAGCCATCCAGTACGAATACCACTAAATACTGTTAGGTAACCAGAGTAGATGACAGCCCTTTTGTGAGAGAGGAGAAAAGCTGAGATACATTCTACTCTGTGAAGCATGCATCCTTTCTTACCTCCTCAACATCTGCTTTTAGCCAGACTAAGATATAAAAGTGTTTTCTGGTTGGGAACTTTGCCTCTGTCTACCACTGTTCTTAATTTAGAAACTATTTAGATCTCTAGTGACTACACAGAAGGCTATCTAGCGGTTACCCAGAGAACATCCTAAGATGCAGCAGCCCAATCAACTAAGCAAATTCTATAGAAAGAAATGATAGATTTTGGTAGCCCAGCCAACCACGGTCTCTCCCCATCCGACATAGTCTCCTGTTCTATTCACTGTATTAGCCTTCCTAGCCAGCTGCTGTATCTCAGAGTCTTGGGTAGCCAGTGTGTGTGTGTGGGGGGGAGTGGGGGGTAGCTTTGAAGCTTGGCAACTATCCTGGAGTTTCCCAAACCCTTACAGCAAAGTGCTGGCTTACTGGCACATACTTCCTGGGTGATTTCTCAGCTTAAAAAGCAACAAGAACTCTGGCTGACCATGAAATTCTCTGGCATTTGAAAAACAGCTTGGGCTTTGTGGCTACAAACCGAGGTCCAGGTCAGATTAGATGAGCATTTTATCCTGTTTACTGCCTCAAACGGACTTGGAAGCTACGGAAGGAAAGGGCTGGGAAATATGAGAGCTGTAGAGAGCCAGAAGTTTTCAAATCAGCTAGAGGAATGTGCTGACACACTCTCTTGTTGGGGGAAAGGAATACTGTACTTCTTCTCGACACAGGTTTTTAAACCCTTCTTATCTTGCAGTTATTTAATCAATAAAAGGTACATTTTGGATATCTAGAATCTTCTATGTTCCATCTCCAGGTGAGTAAAAGAAAATGGGATTTGGATTCAACACCCTGGGTTCAAATGCCTACCCAACCCATTATGAGCTGTGAGATACAGGCCAGGTCATTATGTCTCTGGGAGCCTCAGTTTTCTTGCCTGTGAAGTGAGGTCATCTCATGTCTCACATGAGATGCTTCCAGTATTCATATGAATTGTGTCTAAATTTGCCTGAGAAATTATAAAATATACAGATATCGTCATAGTTATTAAGGACTATTACTGAGTTAAACCACTACAGCTAATAATTTATTATAACAATGTTTAGCTCTATTTAAAAACTACTTTTGACAATACTCTACATACATTTCCATGAATTCTGATCGGACATAAGTATATAATGTTGGGCTCTCTCCACCTCTGTGCCTTTGTTCCATTGTTTTATCCACTAAAATAGCTCCCTCCACACCTTTGCCAATTCAACTAAATTCTATTTATCCCTCAAAGTCCTGCTTAGAAATACATGCCTCAAGCACCTTGGATTAACTCATCTACTATCCATATGACCTGTCTCTTCAAGTCCTCTGCTGCACAGTCTATTCTGCACTATGTAGCACTCCCTCATGGCTTGACAGACACCCCCGTGACCTCTCCAAGCCTCCAGTACTCAACTGAGGGTGGCAGTGATCATCTGGTCCCTGCCTAGTTCACAGGATTCCTACGGGATGCAGATGAGGGTGTGAATTCGGAAGCACTCTGGATAGAAACCAAAGGCAATGATATACAAATCTGAGACATGGTTCTTAAGCCTTGCTTTCAGAATGTTATAAAATGTAGTAGCCGGTCAGATTCTGTATTTTCCAGAGAAAATGGGATCTTCTTTCACTGGAATAACAACTAGCTAAGTCCCGCCTCCTCCTTTCCTTCCTATAAGTAGAACTGCACAGATACTTACCCTCTCTTAAGTCTCGATCTATCTTGGGTGATGACTTTTTCCCCACGGACAATCCATGAACTTCTGGCCCCTCCACGTTCACTCCTGAAGGGACCCTGCTCATTTAAAACAGTTAAATTTCCCACTGAATAAAAATGTTCAGAGACAGAGGAAAGGGCAACTTAGTCAGGTAGTCAGTCTATGACTCCATATTTTAAGTTTTTGTTTTTACACAAGCCCACCTATGTTTCAAGATCAAATTAACTGCCTGTCACTGCCTCCATGAAGCTCTCTAATTCCTCAAAGTGTGTGCTCTATTTCACTTCTCTAAATATTCTTAGCATCTTTTTCTTTTATAGTTAGCTGTATCCATAACTTCACCCCTTGAGATTAGGCATTAAGCCTCAAAAGAACCAAAAAAAATATATCATGTGCCTCTTTACAAGGCTCAGAATGTTATATTTTTGTCTTGAGCGTAGAAGGCATCACTGAACTATGGCTTAACTGAAATAAACCATGACCTCATGCATGGTTCTCTACCATTCCAAGAAAGAATACTCAAGTTTCAAACTTGGCAAATATACAAATCACAGCATGATATCCCTTCAGTATACACAGATTGAACAAATCCAAATGTGCACGTCCACTCTTGGATCCCCTGTAATAATTTTAGGCCACCCAGGGTTGAGGCCTTGATGTCTAGTGGAAGACCGTAAGATTTTGAATAGGAAAATCCTGATCCACCAGTCCCTTGTGGTAACACTCTAAAAGAGTCCTTTGCCTTGTCAGAATCTCCATTTCTGAATTTGAAAATGAATAGGCTAGACCATGTCAGCTCAAACCTGTAACTCCAACATTCTATGATTCCTCGAACTGCTTACTAACGTGTAAATTGATTTTTTACTTTTATAGTTTTTTTGTTAAATGGGGTCTATTCATTTCTGATTGAGTTAATGACACCTAATATTTTAGCTTGCAGTGAAACTTTCTGAGCTTCCTGCTTTCAAATGCAGTAAGGGAATTCAGCATGAACAAGAAAAATTTAAGCTCTATTTTATTAATAAATCCAACAGCATCCAATTTTCTCTGATTTAGAATCACAGAATGTGTAGCCTTCAGAGATTACCTGATCCAACTCCTTACTTGGAGGAAAAACGTAAGATTAGAAAGGAAGACAAACTACTCAAAATCACACAGAAGTATGGGAAGAGCTGGGGCTAGAAGGTAGAGCTCCTAATTCCCAGTGTGGAACTCATTTAATTATATTTTTTGCCTATTTCATAGAGTTAAGGTCCTTATGATGGGTATGACTCTTAAGTATTTCTTCTCATTAAAAGTAAACAGACGCTATTCTGAATGAAGAACTCACCGATTCTCGTCATGTCGTCCTCCGTATCGGATCCAATAATTCTGTTTTGAATTAAAAAAAAAAAAAACTACTCAGTAGCTTTGTCACTAAAACATAACTTACAGAAAGAAAATATACATTTAAAATACTCAAAAAACCTAAAACATTAGGACACTTGCATGCTGCATAAAGATACAATATTTTTTAAATTAATAAATAGAAAAGCTAAAGTCAATGCAATTTTGGCAAAGACAAATGATGTACAAATGGGTTTTTAAAAATAGCCTGGAATCAGCTTAAGAGTTTATAATTTTTGTTCAAGAAGTGATTTGGAATTTGGTGTCAGGAAGACACTTAAAAGATCATCCAGTCCAACTCCCTTATGTCTTGTGAATAAATCAAACAAAGGAAAAAATTCAGCTTCATTAATCATCTGTGCAGAATCATAAAGTGACTTTTTCTGAAGTCTCTTGGGAAGATGCAATTTAAAAAAATAAGAAGTGGGAGCTGGATATAAGCATACTAGAAATGTTATTTAGAATTAGTATACTTAAAATTACCCTAATTTTTAAAATGTGCCAATAAAAATATGACATAACTAAAACAGAGATGAAAAAATGTTACAAATAGGATGTATTACAAATAGTGCTTTTTATAAACATTATGACAGGGACATTATATAAAGAACTTATATAGCTAATCAACAGGTAAATGAAAAAAGGGCATGTCCAGATAATTCAAATCATAGGAAAAGTAATAACAATATGTGGAAAGTTTGTTTTGGCTTTCAAAGGAGTACAAATTAAAACAACAATAACATGCCATTTTGTAGATAAGAAATACAAGTGATTTTTAAACGTTATCTCTCACTGCTGAGATATTTATAGTAAGCTGGTACTTCTAATGCTTTGCTAGAACTACTGAAGGTATCAAAAAACTCTTAGAAAAGCAATTTCAAGAACTTTAAAACTTCTCATATCCTTTGATGCCAGAATAATCCCATTCCTGGGAATTTATTCAAAGGGCACAGTTCAATACAGAGGAAGATGCTTCATGCATTAAATATGGTAGAAAAAATAAAAAACAAAAAATTCAGTGTTAGGAAAAGAGTTTATTTATAGCATGTTCTATACATGTAGCTAAAAACCATACTAAAAGCTGTAAAAATGTAGAAATGGCTTATGACACCTTAACTAAAATCAGAATAGAAATCTATCCATACCATAGTAGTAGCTGGGCAAAAGGTGTGTCACCATATGAAGACTAAAAGTCAACCCAGACAAGGGGAGTCAGCATGATGAAGAGTACAATTGAGATGGGCTCTGTTCTTTATGAAGTCTTTTTAATGTTTAAAATGTGTAAGTGAAATACAAAATGTCACATCCAGAATCTGAGACATAAAACAGTCTTGAGGCAAATGCATCAGGTACAAAACACTTCTCTTCCCCCCACATATATTTGCTCTTGACTTTGGATCTCAGCGATATGGAGATCTATTAAAGTCTTTTAATATTTATCACATATGCTGAGTAAACACCCACCTCCCACCTCCCCAGGTTTTGTTAATGCAAAGCAGATTAGAATCTTCAGTAAATTAAGTTGGGAAATAAAATCACAAATAAGTAGTCCATTGAGTGTGCTTTCAAAAAATATTTCCTGGGGCACCTCAGTGGCTCAGTGGTTGAGCGTCTGCCTTCGAATCAGGTTGTGATCCCAGGGTCCTGGGATCAAGTCCCTCATCAGGCTCCCTGCAGGGAGAGCCTGCTTCTCCTTCTGCCTAAGTCTCTGCGCCTCTTTCTCTGTGTCTCTCATGAATAAATAAGTAAAATCTTTAAAAAAAAGAACCAAACATTTCCTCTTCCCTCTTTGCTCTTACCGGTTCAGTGTATGAAAATCCCAGACCCTCTGCAGCTGATTTTATTAGTTCTGATTCCAATTTATGACGCTTCACAAACATTGCCAAATCCTAGAGGAAAAAAAAAATGAATGAAAAGTTCATATTTAAATAGCAGTTAAGAAATATGATAAATGTTCAAGTGGAAATATTTTTCAATAGACAGTGGACAAATGAGCTAAGAAAATATTCACAGCTGCAAAAAAAGTCTCCATCTCAACAGACTTTCACAAGCTATCATGTATGAGAAAAATATGCTTCTGGCATTAATAATTAAAGTACAAAAAAATAGCACTCTAGAACCTTGACTAAACTGCTAGATATCTTTAAGAGCAGTGCTACACTTTTACCAGTTCTGCCTAGAGCATCTAGCAGAATGCAGTTTCTTCTCAGGATGTTGGTCTCACCTCTCGGGCCTCAATGGATGCTGGGTCACTGCTGTCATCCAGCAGACCCTCGTAGTAATCCACGTTGTCTAGGACATCCTCATCATCTGGATGGAGGAGAAGATAGGCCTTGGCACACTCCAAGGCTTTCACATATTCACCAACTGAAAGACCAAGGAGTTGTAGCATTAGAGTTAGGCTAGGTCCAGCCAGAGGATTTTTAAGAAATACTTCAACATATTCTAGGTGAGGTCAGCATTAAACACAAGTGAGAGGGAAGATAAGGTGAAGCCGAACAGCAGACACAGAAATAGTCACAGATAAAACCAGATTCTCAAATATGGAGAACAAACTGATGGTTGCCAGAGGGGAGGGAGGTGGCTGAGGGGATGGGGGAAATATAGGGGATTAAGAAGTGCAAACTTCCAGTTATAAAATAAGTAAATCACAGAGCTGAAATAACAGCATAGGGAATGCAGAAAATAAGATTTTAGTAACATTGTGTGGTGACAGATGGTGACTATACTTATCATGATGAGCCCTGAGTAATGTACAGGATTGTTGATTCATTATATTGTACACATGAAACTAATATAACACTCTGTGTTAATTATACTTCAATCCTATGTCTCTGCCTCTCTCTCTCTCATCAATAAATAAAATAAAAAAATCTTAAAAAATAAAAATATACTTCAAAAAAATAGCCACAGACAAAAGGAAGGACATGATTACATGATTTCAGTGTTTAAAAGGTACTAATTTTGGTCTGCTTCGGCACTTAGATGTGTTTTGTATCAATTATTAAAAGTTTCTACCTGAAGATGTTGTTGACAACTTATATTATTTAATACAAATAAGCAGAGCAGGATCTGGGGAGCTAATTCTGTTTTGGGGCTGAGTTTGACATCATGTTTTCTAAAACCAATTTCAGTGATCCCAATTCTATTCATTGTTTTTAAAAAATTACTAACAGCAAAATGTCCATGAGTAAGGAGACACATAAAATAAATTCTAGTACAGTATATGTGGATTGTATATGTGGATGTAAAGAGAAATTAATGAGGAAGATCTCCATGTACCGATATAATTAGGCTAAACCATATAAAATTGCCAAAATTTGACCTTTTTTATACTAAGCAAATGGTAATTTCATAGGTCCATCCTACTAAGAAAATGCTTTTCATGATTTTATTTTTAAATAATCTCTACATTCAACATGGGGCTCAAACCCACAACCCCAAGATCAAGAGTCTCATGCTCTACTGACTAAGCCAGGTATCCCCTGATATATTATTATTATTATTATTATTATTATTATTATTATTATTAAAGAGAGAAAGGGAGAGTGGAGGTTGGGGGCAGAGGGAGAGAGAGAATATTAAGCAGGCTCCACACCCAGCACAGAACCCAATGTGGGGCTCTATTCCACGACCCTGAGATCATGACCTGAGCCGAAATCAAGAGACTGATGCTTAACCAACTGTGCCACCCAGATGACTCCTCCCTACTGATATATATTATTACATGAAGAAAGCAGTGTAAAGAACAGTGTAAATAATACATTATCTTCTATGTATAAAAGGGGGAAATAAGTTGGGGTTGTGTAGGGGTGTGTGTGTGTGTGTGTGTGTGTGTGTTTTGAAGAGACAAATCGAAAACTGGTTATAGGGCATGAAACTGGGTTGCAGAAAAAAGTAAGAAAGGGAGGCTTTTATGACATTTGGTCTTTGAATTTGTGAATATATCATTTTTTTTATTTTTTTTTTTATTTATTTATGATAGTCACAGAGAGAGAGAGGCAGAGACACAGGCAGAGGGAGAAGCAGGCTCCATGCACTGGGAGCCCGACGTGGGATTCGATCCCGGGTCTCCAGGATCGCGCCCTGGGCCAAAGGCAGGAGCTGAACCGCTGCGCCACCCAGGGATCCCAATATATCATCTTTTAAAATTAGGTTGAAAAATTAAATGCAAAAATCCTGAAAAATGTCAGTCTAGTGTAATTGTCAGGACATTACCACAGCATTTGCCCACTTGTGGTTTCACCTGCTCTCCTTATCCTGAGTTTGCCTGATGTGAGATGAGAGAGAAAAAAAACAACAAGTAAATCCTCATTGCCTCAATGGTAAACTGGGAAATGCAGAGGACAATTTGATGTCTGTAATGATGAACACCAGCTCTCCTTCAAAAGGTCTTCTGGAATGATCCACACCTTACCTCGATAGTAGGCGAACTGTAGGTAGTCATAATGCAGGGGAAGAAAGTTCTCGATTGGAGAGAGGCGGCCGGGGCGAGTGGCAAGTTCCCTCACACACTCATGCTGACAAACCAGCACCTGCATGTAGTGATCTGGAAGGCAACAGTGAGAGAGGTGGGTCGCTCCAGTCCGCTGGAGGGTCCAGACTTCAAGGTGGGAGCCACAGTTAGACAGGGCATGCCCCACCTCACCACACTGTGAGGGCCACCTCGTTATCATCTTCACTTCATGAGCAGGAGCTTCTCACAAAGGAAGGAAGTGACTTGCCAAAGGCCTCCTGGTCAATGATCCCTAGAGTAATGAACAGGGGATTCCAAACCTTGTGGCCTCTAGTCTTTTCTCCAGACTGCACTTTCCACTTCTTACCCTTTTTCTACATCTCCTGAAAAGTGACACAGGCCATGTCAGCCCACCCGTGCCCATGTGAACAAACGCCTTTCCCATTTAAGACCGCTGGGGCCTCCCTTTGGATACTTTGGGTACATATCCTGGGTCAGGGTCGGAAGTTCAGATTCCAGTTATGCTAAGGAGCAGTTGAGAGAAAGGACGGCTGCGCATATGAGGAGTTTTTTCTCCTTGTTAACATTTTCAAGAACTTTTCCTAAAGGGGAAATAAAAACAATATATATAATTTTTTTACATCTATTGATCAGGAACCTATTCTACTCAGTTACCAAACAGTCCATCACCTGCACATTGGAAATCCTAATACTGTAGGGACTGGTAAAATAGGAGAAGGAGGAAAGCTAAAGCATTTAGATACACATTTTGTCTCTTGATCTGTTTCCCTTTCTCTATCCCCATTCTTGTCATTTCTAAACAGGCGAGGATTCTCAAGTGTAGGGGTCATCTTGCTTCCGTTAGGTCTGGGCTCTCTCCTATCCAAGCATGAGCTGAGGAAATGACAGTTCCAGAAAACAAACACTTCCTACATTTTTCCCCAACTTTGATTTTTACAATGAAGATGGAGATAGTCTTCTCCAAAAAGAGAAGATTTTATTCATGTCTGTGTAGAGCAGGCTTTCTTGAGAATGACGATACAACTGTCTGACTTCATGACTTTACATTTTAATTTATCACAACTGCCTCCTTTCAAAGGTTCTCTGTTAGGCAGAGTTTGGCTCGTCTCTTAATGGCTTGAAGAGGGACCCCGGAGCACAACAGAAAGAGCATGTGCATTTTCTGATGTGCAGGCAAATGGGCCAGTTCTTGCGCAACCTGGCAAACTCAACCCAACATAGCACAGCTAACAGAATCCCTACACTATTGGTTCTTATTTTTTTTTAAGATTTTATTTATTTATTTATGAGAGACCCAGAGAGAGAGATGCAGAGACACAGGCAGAGGGAGAAGCAGGCGCCACGCAGGAAGCCCAATGGCCCAGTGCGGGACTCAATTCCCGGACTCCAGAATTACGACCTGAGCCGAAGTCAGATGCTCAACCACTGAGCCACCCAGCCATCCCCAGTCTATTGGTTCTTAATTGCAGCTGGAGGGTGGGAGGAGAAAAATGAGTTCTGTTTATTTGTTTAGCATGTTAGAAATAAACAGCTATATAAATAGCCAATAAATAGCTGTTTTATTTCTTACAAAAACGACAAACAACCTTCAACTATTTCTCCTAGTTAGCTGGCCATTGGCATTCCTCTTTACCTTCTAACACAAATTCCTCCTAATTCCAAATGACAAGCAAAAGCAAGAGGTAGAAAATACACCCAACAAGACCCAAAATCTGAATCAAATTATTTTTCAACACAAGACACAAAGAGCAAACAAAATGAGTGACAAAGTGATCTTCTTTAGGGCCTCAACAAGCATAGTTGGTAATAAATGGCATTGAGAAGCCATTTGTATTTTTCTCCTATTTTTAGTGTTGTTCTATCTCAAAAATCCAAATATTCTGGCTTTCTAAATATATTCTGTATTTTAAAAGCCACTTTCACTTTTAATTTAGAACAGTTTTGAACCACACAAGAATTTACAGCGTTAGAACACATTTTATTGGTTGTATTTCTTGTCTCCTTTCTAAATCAAATGTTATTGTGCAATTACTATGTTTTAATAAGTTTGAGATACAAGACCCTCGTGTGGGAATATTTTTAAAAATTTTCTTCTCATAATAAATTGGAAATGCATCAAATTCTCAAGAAGACTTACCATATTTTTGTAATATATGATCTTTGATTGAGCTTCAGGAACCATGACATTTTTTTAAATCACTTTTCTTTACTGGAAATAGGGGTAATGGTGATAGTTGTATTAAATATTAAGAGCCTGAGTTAGGAGATGTCTATTCTTTCCCAGCAATGAAGATGCTATGGTGACCTCGAGAAAATCACTAAATGTTATTCTGTGGGAATCTGTCAGTTTTCTGAAATCAGACATAAGACATTCGCCAAAGCTGTTTAGTGGCCATTGGTAGAGGCAGATGTAGAAATGATTGGGGGTGGGGGGTAGAGACAGGACACATATCCTTACACAACTACAAGATAATAAACCATAATAAAGGAGAAGCATTCCTGAATAAAAGATTACATGTAAAGAATACTTAACAATTAAAATGTGAAACACACATAAAACTGATATTCAAATGAACACTGCGCGCAAAAATGTATGGAAATGGCTGCAGGAAGCCTAGCAAAATAAAACCTTTGGGGAGAAAAATCCTCAATCATTCAGATATTGGTACTGATATTAGGTGAACTGAGTGGGTTTTGGGTAACTGAATATGTGGCAGATAGGTCATCCAACAAATTGAATTTCAATCTGCCTCTTAAGCTAAATTTTGAAAGATGTTTCCTAATCATCCCTCTCAAAGACCTTAACAATTTATGATCTATATTTTCAAAACATAGAGTATTAGTGATCTTTTTAATCTGAAATGTGATTGATGGATATGTCATTTTCTTCTCCCCTCCTTCCCTTCCTCCCTCCTTTCCTTCCTTCCCTTTTTTTCCTCCCCCTCATTCATTGAATAAATATTTACTAAGCACCTAATCTTTGTCAGTCAGTATACTTAGGGGCTGAAGATTAAGCACTTAAAAAGATACGACATTAGGCAAGTGATAGAGGAAAGCAACAATTTTCAAAGTCTGTGAGTGGAAATGGACATGGTATTTCCAGGAAATGCCACAGGAAGGGATCTAAGAGACAGAAAGAGAGGGGATGAAAATATATACAAGTGCACAATCATGAAAGTCCTTATTAAAAGTTTTGGGTTTTATTCTAAGTGCAGTGGGAGCCTTTGGTCGGGGAGGGGGGTGTTCCATGAATATACTTTTTTTTGGAAGACCATTTTGACTGCCTACATAGCAAAACGTCATTAGGACATGAGGACCAGCAAGGAGGCTATCATCATGGCTTTGTTAAAATATACTGTTGATCTGAACCAGGGTGGTAGTAAAAGGGGTGGAGAGAACCAGGGAATCTTATATGCTATTAGGAGGTAGCACCTACCAGAGCTTGGTAACAAATCAGAGGAGAATAGGAATTATGGGAAATGTTGGATTGAAAAATAATGTTTTGAGGTTTGTTTAGAAACCTAGTGAGGGGTGCTTTTTATAGAGACAGAAAACATTGGCATTTGGGGAAAGCATTGGCATTAATTTGCCTTCCTGCACATATAGGTGAAGTTGAACATTATTTTTTTAATATATTTATAACTTAGAACACAATATGCACTCAAGAGATATTTGTTAAACATTCATTACTGAATATCAGGTTATCCTTTGCTCATTTTTCAATTATGTAGACCTTAAAATATGAGTCCCAGAGTGAAAAAAGCCTAGATTTGATTCCCAGATTCACCTTCATCACATTACTCTGAGGTATAAATTCCTCATTTAAAAAAAGGAGAAGATGGTGGATAACAATACCATTCACTTACCAGAAGCTATTTAGAGGATTAAAAGATATATAAATATTTGAAATGCTTTGTATATTGTAACTGCTTTATAAAGTTACTTATTACTATGCCTTATAAGAAATAAATTACCAGTAATAATAATTTACAGGTTCTGCCTAAATATTATGGATATGAACTGCCTGCCTGTAAATGTTTTGCAACTTTTTCATTTGTCATTCATAATTCAGCTTGATTTATTGTATCTTTTGTATTTTAAATCTTAGGCAAAGTCTTTTTCTTCATATTTCTTGTTTTTTGTCATGCTAAGAACAGGTTTTCCATTCCTTCCATTATGCACATATTCTTTTTCATTTTCTTCTTTTTTTAAAGAGAAAAAAATCTCTTTTATAGAGAGAGTGTGTGCACACACAAGTATGTGCAGGACTGGGGGGAGGGATAAGGGGGAGAGAAACCTTAAGCAGAGCCCCTTGCTGAGCACAGAGCCCTACACAGTAAGGGTTTGATCTCATGATCCATGAGATCATGATCTGACCCAAAATCGAAAGTCAGATGCTTATCCAACTGAGCCACCCAGGGGACACCTCTTGCATTTTCTTCTGATGTTTTATTATCACACTTACATTATAAACATATGTAGAGTTTATTTTTCTATGTTTTTCATATGCTTCCCACCATAAATGATTAACTAGCTAATCTCCCCAATTAATGTATAATTCATTCTACCTACTATTTTAAATGCCACTTTGTAATATATTAAATTCTTATAGATAACAAAATCCTCTTTTAAGTAATTGAAGAAAACTATACAGAAATATTCACTACTACATTGTTTATAATAATGAAAACCTGTCGCTTCCTTAATATTTATCAGTAAGGAAACTGGTCAAATTAATTATGCTTTCCCCATATATTAGAACATCAGGGCAGCCTGGGTGGCCCAGCGGTTTAGCACCGCCTTCAGCCTAGGGTGTGATCCTACGGACCCGGGATCGAGTCCCGTGTCGGGCTCCCTGCATGGAGCCTGCTTCTCCCTTTGCTTCTCTCTCTCTCTCTCATGAATAAATAAATAAAAGTCTTTAAAAATAAAAAAGAACAACAACAAAAAAAAGAACATCACACAACCATTCAATACAATAAGGTAGACTACGTGTACTACTTACATGAGAAGTCCACACTGTATTGTTAAGCATAAAATAAAAAAAAATGCTCAAAATAAGTATTCACAGTATTGTCTCATTTTTATAAAAAATAATTATAAATAAGTACGTAAACATTTACATATGCATCTGAAAAGGTTTGGGAGCACAGTCACCAAATTTAAGCTAGGTAGATTTATTTATAGGACATAAGATGAGTTAAATAGATGTTTCATTTTTCACAATTTATACTTTTGTGTTGTTGGAATAATTTTACAGATTGCATGTAGTAATTCTATAATCAGGAAATAAATAAAGGAAAAAATAATCTTTACCTGCAATGGCTTCATAGAGACCAGCTTTGTACCCTAAGTACTCATACTCTTCAAATCTCTGAGGCCCCTCACACAGGGCTCTGCACTCCATATCTTCATTGAAATATTCTCTTAAAGCTTGTTCAAAGTACTTGATAGCCAGCTCAAAGTCATCAGCCTCATAATATTTAACTCCTGCACTGTAACTTTCCTGCAAAGAAGAGGAAGAAAAAAAAGTGTGTGTGTGTGTGTGTGTCTGTGTGTGTGTAGATAGATAGAAATCCATCTATCTATCTATCTATCTATCTATCTATCTATCTATATTTTTTCCCCAAAGAGCACTTCTGGAGCACTTGAATAGCAGTATTTAGGCAGACTCAGGATCATTTGGGGAGTGGGGCACTGGGCTCCTGTGCTGTGGAAGAAAAATGAAGGGTTTTACTGGGAGATAAAGACTAACTTCCCTGGCTTCACGGAATTATAAATAAGAATGGAGTTATCAAGCAAGCTGAAGGCTATGGCATCAGTCAATTTCATATTCTTCTTGAGCACAGACATGTAGAACAATATTTTCTAACCTCATCTGAATGTAGGCCATGCAACAAAGCCCAGCCAGGTAGACTGATGTGGGTGGCCATGACACATTCATTTTCCAGACCTGCCTGACCCAATTTAATAATGATGATGATGATGGTGATGATAAAAGGCTTATATTGAAAATCTTCTCGTATCTTGTTCTTCAATCATCTTGGAAGTCACGTGTCAGGAATGGTGACCTCTCCGATTGAAAAAAAAGCCCTTCCGACTTATTGTGATTTCAAGTAAGCTTTCATTTAAAGTCAGTGAATATGTAGCTTTAAAATATCAAAATTTGTAAAGTAGAAGGGCAGTGGAAAAGCAATGGACTGGGAGCTAGGAAACCACAGTGTGACCTGAGCAATTCATATTGGCTTCAACTCCCATATGTAAAGTTTGAAGGGGGCACTGAGGTTCAGAGAGGGTGACAGATCTTTATATCATGTTCTACTTTTCACCATATCATATAGCTTTTCTAAGGGCATTTTAACCTTCTTTTATCTTTTTTTAACTCTAATAATTACAATATATCATCTGAGAACTCTGGCAGTATAAAACTATTACTGTATTAGAAATCAAGAATCAACCTGATATACCCATTCCATGCATTTGCTTTGAGTCCAGTGAAACTTAGGAATACCTATCTCCTTCTGGTTAGGGCAAGGATCCTCAGTGCTCACCAGATGTGGTTTGGCTTCTAGATCTACCAACTGGAGCACTTCGACGCCGGCCATTGTTCTGTAATTCTCGATGTTCTGCTGCATTTCCATATGCTCAGGGTTGGCCATGAAAAATGTGTGGGCTGCTTCCACTGCCTTTTCCAGCTGGTTAAGCTATGGAGAAAAAAAAAAAAGAGGCCCAAATGAAGGCAAACATTTCTAACCTGGCTCAGTACTAGTCCAAGGGCTAACAGCTAAAGTGGCAGGGACAGCTTCCAGGTTACATTCACTATACTCAATCTCTGTACTACAAAGTGGAGGGTTAATAAACAGAGATCCTAAAATGATACATGGATATTCAGGCTTTAGTGAAAATAGCTAAATGTGCTCTATTCCAAATTTATTCTTTTCCCACTCTTTTCTGAACCATCTGCATTTCTGGGAAGCTGAATCTTTCTGCTTCTGTTTGTTTCATGATTGATCAAAATAAAAAGCTGCCAATGCTGTGCCACCTCTAATTCATATTTTTAACATTTTTATCTTTTATTTTCTCTTTTCTTTTTGTTCCTTTTGTCTTTAATCCTGACAAAGGGAGTATAAACAAACCTATGACTTTCCAAAGGATGAGAATGAGTATACCTCCCACTCCACCGAATGTATCAGGCTTTAGAATGTGAATAATACAAAAACCAAAAGAATACAAAATAACATTTCAATGCATGAATGCAGTACATAAAATGCTTTATCACACTCCTTTGATTGAAATATTTGATTCCAGACCTACAATTTAGATTCTAATTAATACAAAAGGAAGAATTTCTAATAATCACTACATAGGCACTACAAAGTCTTCTATGCCACACAGATTCTCCATGTAATGCAATTTTAACAAAATAGAATTAAATTTACTCAATTTAAGACATTTTGCTCTGTGCTTTAGACATAAAAAACATTTATAGACAGATCTGTTTGCCCATATCAGAAAAATGAATATTCACAGTAATAACTTTTTCATGGTAAAATCCAAATACGTTTGATCTATTTTAGAATATGAAGACATGAAAACTCATTGTTATTAAGAAGTAAACGTAAAATCATGGAACAGCATAAAAGATTCAACTTAGTCTTGCCTGAGTCTTACCACTCAGATATTAGTAAGAAATATAAGTACTGAATTCCCAAGTCCCCAGCTACTGCCATTTTGTAATAATGGCAAATAATCTTAGCCCTCACCACAGAAAACATAAATTGCCCTATCTTAAGATCTGAGATCCTTACTTTGTCTAATCATAGTAAAGCCTTCCCTTTTCCTGTTGAATTTGCATGCTCTTAGCTACTGGCCTTCTTTCCATTAAATCTTGCCTTATTAGTTTCCCTGCCACTTTTACCTTTGTCCTCAATTCTGTGCTCCCAGAATAATATTGGCTGTCAAAATCACTAATTTTGGATGTGGTTTCTTTTTTAATTTACAATTTCTCAACTTCTCACTCACTAAATATGAATTGTATGGACATCTACACAGTGATGAGTATACAGATATAGAGGAAAAACAGTAGGTTCTAAGTTCGGTGTCTGTCTACACTTATTGATCAGGTAAACCTGGAAGAAGTTATCAAAAAGAATGTAATCTTGCCATTTGCAATGATGTGGAGGGAACTAGAGACTATTACGCTAAGTGAAATAAGTCATTCAGAGAAAGAAAAATACCATATGATTTTACTCATACACGGAATTTAAGAAACAAAACAGATGAACATAGGGAAAGTGAAGGAAAATATACAATAAGATGAAAATTGATAGGGTAGCAAACCATGAAAGACACTGAACTCCAGGAAAAAAACTGAGGGCTCCTGGAGGGGAGGTGGGTGGGCAGATGGGGTAATTGGGTGATGGGCAGTAAGGAGGGCACTTGATATAATGAACACTGGGTGTTATATGCAACTGATGAATCACTAAATTCTACTTCTGCAACTAATTATTTTTTTAAAAGATTTCATTTATTTATTCATGAGAGATACAGAGAGAGGCAGAGACAGAGGGAGAAGCAGGCTCCATGCAGAGAGCCCAACCTGGGACTCAATCCCGGGTCTCCAGGATCACGCCCTGGGCTGAAGGTGGCGCTAAACTGCTGAGCCACCCAGGCTGCCCCAATTTTGCAACTAATTTAAAAAAAAAAAAAAAAAAAGAAAGAAAGAAAGAAATGATCACAGTATAATCTATAACTCCTGTGGACACATAATTTATGAGGATATAATAAAGTCTTTGTGGTTGGTAGAGACAGTCTACAGCTAAGAGTAAAACTATAAATTATGAACAAAACAGATTAGCACTGACATACTCCGGTTCTATAGCACAATCCATTAAAAATTGATAGAACATACATAAATACTTCCGTTTCACTTTTCCACCTTCATCTTTTCTTCAGGCTGTTCTACTGATCTAGAGAGCCTCTATCTCTTGGTCTTTTCTTGTTGAAATCTAACGTATCCCATAAAGTTAAGCCTAATTCCTGACTCTCTAAGAGATCCCTTTTCAACACTATCGCTACAGTCAAGTACAGCAATATCATCTTCTCCCTATTTCTCTATGAGCACCTATCATACTCTGTTGTACACTGCACCTCCCTGAGTATATTCATTTCTTCCAGTAGAGCTCTCTGAGACTAGAGGCCTTAAGACTTTTTTTTGTTTGTCTTCACTGACTTGACATATAGATTGAGGTCTATGATATGGCTTAGGAGAAAAAAAGAACTTCTAACAAGTAAATCTCTTATGCAAATCAAAAAGTGTATTACATGTGAGTATGCTTCTTAAGCTCTACTGGACTAAAAGGATGTCAGTTTAATAACATCTCTGAAGTCATCATTCATACTGAGAGCTTCCAATACTGATTATTAGCAAAGTATATGATTCAATAGCTCTTGAAAACTGTCAGTCACTGTTGACAAGTTGGTTCCTTTACTGAGATCTTACCACACCTGCTGTTGGATTTTTTTTTTTGCACATTTTATGTTTTCCCCATTTATAATCCAGTACTGAGCATATCATCTTCCCCAATATAAATATTAAGAAGATTCCATGACTTAAAGTTAAACCATAAAACTTTTTCATGAACTGGCCATGGCTTTTAAATCACTGTGAAACAGTTCAGGAAACTCAAACTGGCTGCCAAAGTCTATAAAACAAGCCATTATTTTAACTAGAATCTTGATATCTTTGTATTCTATTTTAGAAATTAGATATATACATGTGAAGTGGTAGGAAAACTCCAGGTGAACATGCGTATGCTGCATATAATGCCATATTATGCGTTGGAGATTATTATAAGGCTTTGTAAGTACTAGTTTCAGCTAAGGAAGGATCGACCCACTACTTCACTGAAACAAACAAATAGCCAACTGCCCTGAAAGGCTCCACACTGGACTTCCTTTAAGACCAAAGCAAATTAAATTTAAATTTAAAAAAAAAAGGAAAAAAAAAAGACCAAACTAAAATAAACCACAAGAGAGGGTAACTCTATACATCAAAATAAATAAATAAATAAATAAATAAATAAATAAATAAATAAATAAATAAATAATAAATTGCAAAATAAAGAGCAACTGAGGAAAGGGAAAGGATTTGACGACAAGATGGTATCAAATTTAGAAAGGAGCCAACCGCTCCCCCTGAGATATGAGAAATACCGGCCAGAAATGCCTTCAAGATGCATTGGGTCATTTTATCTCAGGCTGTGAAGAACTAAGGCGAACATTTTCTCCTGCCAGTCTAGAAGCAGGACTGTACGTGGCAGTCATACTGCATGGAAAAAAAGAAATGAATGCTGATTAAATCAACACCCTGCTGACATTCTAAGTTACTCTGTCCACTGGTGAGTGAATGAAATTCTTTTGATGCACTAATGGTTTTCCATAGCGAGTAATAAAGAAGCATTTCAAAAGGACACGTTGACTATTTAGAAACCCTCAGTAGCTATCCATTGACCACAAAAGAGATTCCAAAACTATGTATGGTGACATTCAAAACCTCCAGGATTTGGCCTCAACTCACTTCCTAGCCAAACATCTTCATCTCTGCCATTATGCAAACTTTTCCCAGAAAAGTTCTAGAAGAACTGCTCTTTTTCAAAAGATTTTATTTATTTGAGAGAGAAAAGAGAAAGAAAATGGGGGGGGGGTAGAGAGTGGAGGGAGAGGGACAAGCTGACTCCATGCTGAGCATGGAGCCAGATGCAGGGCTCACTCCCATGACCCTGAGATCATGACCTGAGCCAAAATCAAAAGTCAGACATTTAACCCAATGAGCCACCCACACGTCCCTAGAAGAACTTCTAGATGTTTTATAATTTACCACCTTCCTATTTAAGAAAATACACAAAGGCCCAGTGTTCCAGTCATACCTAAATTCATTTCACTCATTCATTTATTCAGCAGGTATTTATTGTGCACTGAATTAGTGCCAGACACTGTCATAGCTGATGAGAATAACTACATGTCCAAAGCCAACAAAGACCTTACTTTCTAGGTACTTATAGCCCCGTTGAAGGGGACAAGTCTAAAGTAAATAAATCATTAATGAAATTAGTTTCAGATTGTGCTGAATGCTATGGAGAAATAAATGAACAAACGACACTGTAAGAGCTGGCTGGGGTGGGAATGGAATCAGGACTCTATTAGATAAATTAGTCAAAGAAGGTCCCTCAGCAATGATATTTTTCAGCTGAGACCTAAATGTTAAGAAGCCAGTCATGAGGAGAATGGGAGGAAGAACATTCCAGGCAAAAGAAAGTGAAGTGAAAGGGCCCTTTCCTGGCAAAAGAAAGTCAAGTGGAAAAAAGTCTTGACATGTTTTTAATGTGGAGCAGAGACTAAAGAGAGATACTTGAAGAGCTGGAGAAAGACAGATCACTCATAGGCTATTATAGAGTTTATTCTAAGTGCAAGGGGAAACTTTTAAAGAATTTTAAACAATATCTGATACACATTTAAAAATGACAGTTCTGGGGCGCCTGGGTGGCTCAGCTGGTTAAGCATCCAGCTTTTGATTTCAGCTCAGGTCGTGGTCTTGGGGTTGTGGGACTGGACAATATGGGGCTCCACACTAGCCTGTAGCCTGCTTGGGATTCTGTCCCTCTCTCTCACTCAGTCCTGCCCCCTGCTCACACATTCTCTCTCT